CATGCCGAGCGGCTGGAAGCAAAATAGAAGCACAACTATTAACGTCTGACAACCAAACGTTCGAAGTCTTGCAACCACTATCGGACTGGATTCTAATTAGTTTTTTAAAGCTTTTTCCATAATCTGCCAGCTTCACGGTTTTGTTGTTGAAACTTCATGGCAGCGTTCCGTTTTATGCACACAAAGTTCAACGTCAAACAGGTGTTTTTGTTGTCACACGTTCTGAAAGGTTTGCAGTAGTGATAACGAGGAGGTGTGGCAATTTCCACGTGCTGCTTTGCACGGTGTGCACGCAAGATAGGATGTTATTAGTGCACCGTACACCCCGTTAGACACGTGAAAGGTCGTTCAGCCGCAACAACATAGTTCAACTACTCAAGGGTGAAAAAGTACTTTTTCTGTCACCGACGAAACCTGGAACCGTCTAAATTGTTACCTGGAGCCAAATTTTTCAGAAACTGTTGCGACATAACCCTAAATGCGACACACCACAAAGACAAAATAAATGCGGTGCGTCATTGCTATAAAATTTGTTTGTTTCAGGAGTTTATTTGCACTAAAGTATCATTTGCTGGCCATCAAACACTGAGGGATGATTGAGACTAAATTACTGCGATTATCAGATAAAAGAACAATAACATAAACTGCCTTGACGCATGTAGTTTCCCATTCAATTGGGGGGGGGGGGATTGTGCTTTGTAACCATGAATGTGGTTTCCTATTTTTTGTTTATGATTTTTATCCATTGCTTTTCATTAACCACAAATTTTGATGATTCAGCCCCAAACTAAGCTTGAGAAACTACACCCCTGTTTCCAACTCTGAAAACATAGTGCACCAAATCTGGGAAGAACTGTTTGAAGTGCATTTCGAAGGCAGGCTCAGCCATCCATGATCACATCCTCATATCATCAGGCATTATCATACTTGCATCCCCCTCCCTCAACCATACGTATTTTGCAAAACTACATCGCTGCGCCGCTACATTTACCGATAGCATGGCTCTACAAGCACCTGAAAATATATCACTTTTGGTTTTATGACCTTATCATACAATCAGCTGGGAGCGTTGGTGACCTGCGCTATCTTCGCATAATCATTACCAGTGCAGAACTCGCCCTTCCTAACATTATTCTAATTAATAACTACGAAACCCATGCAATATTGGTATCAAAGGATGCAAACGACATTTCTGAACGTCTCTGGCACCTCTATTTTGCTTTATAGCAATATGATGACAATTCAAAGCGTTTTATTTCACGCCTGTCCCCCGATCAGTGCGCTAAGTCTGAGGTGCAACGGACAGTGAGAGAGACCTACACCAGCGATGTTCAGCCTCTTACGTCAAAGCCGCTGTCCCTCTCGGCAACATGAAGCCTCGGATAAATCCTTGATATGTGTCGCTCCAACATCCCCCGTTTATCTCTGGAGCTACAAGTCAGGTATTCACAAACAACAAGTCCCCTAGATCGTCAGGGCTTTTTAACGCTTTTACTTGAGACAACCTCCAAGGTTGATCCTTAGAAAAGCCACATAGCGAATAAAAACTGACGATTAGCTATGCTCTTCAAGCCAGTCAGCTTCTCGCGACGTGAACAAAACTAACGGCAGCCCACAGCCTTGCACTTAACCCAGTTTATAATCGCGTGGTGAGCATTCAAGTTCGAGCAAAAACTAAATCATTCATTTGAGCCCATCTGTCTCAAATGGCATGACGCTTTAAAACGTCGCAAAACAGACTAATCACGTTCGTCGCAAGATGTTGTTGCTATCCACGATTCGTACGACTGACAATAAGCGTAGCTATTTGGAATTTTATACTGTTTAGTATGTGAAGTGAATCTTGGCTGAAAAGAAAAAAAAACACTGATCTGGGGGGCATTGGAAAAGCAATGCGTCACCAATGATCTGTGACGTCAGCACTGATAAGTAAAATTTATAGTATATCTCTGTCACCTGCACAAACACTATCCTGATTAAAGCTAGTACGCTTCGCAGCATCTTGACTCAACTTGTTCATGCAGCGAAACGTCCAGGTTTCGACATGTGCTCTACACATGCTCACGTTACAAGCGTTAGCGAATACAGACCAGTACTAAGCGTTACCACGCGCTCGGGTGGGGGTCAAATTGACCCCCACCCCCGAAAGTTTTTCCAGAATGGTTTCCGAACGACACGGCGTAGCCGCGCCTAATTTTGCATAGCTGTAGACAATTAAATAGCGGATAGTTTGGTATCCAAAATTTAGATGTACCTTTTAAAGCCGCTGACCCATGGCAGGTTAAAGTCAGGTCATGGTTTCAGCGAAGGCAATTTCTACGAAACCCTTCAATCTGATCCAACAACGGAGTGTTAGACGAGACCATATATCTCTGAGATGCTTTCTTAGGCAACACAGCAGTTGAATGAGCAAATTACACTAGGGATCGTGATCTCTAAGAATGTGATCTTTTTCTTAGAAACGGTTTTCTAGGCTCTGGGAGCACATTGGAGACCAACCTGGGACTTAAACTTGTTTGACCTTTTTAGATCCTAAGGTCATGACCTAGGAACCTGAAACTTTGACCAAAATGATTTCACGTACAGTTCAATACACTCGGTAAATTTGGTGTTTCTAGCTGTCTTAGTTGCCGGGATCTCAGGGGGCAGTCAAATTGACCTCCCCACCCGAGCGAACGGTATCTAGCCGGCCGCCCGGGCGCGTGTTAAGTTTCGTCTAGCTGGGATGGTATGTTGTAATTTGTTTTCATTTCCGCAAATTTCTAACAAATGGCTCGCAAAAGTGCGCGTTCCTGTCACAGAACATATCTCGAAAATTATGAACTTTTTACGCTTCAACTATTTATGGCATTGGATCAAAAATAAACAACCTTCCATTGTGTCTATCACTTCAACCGTACTCATTCTGGAGAGAGACACACAATGCACCCAGGTGGCCGTGAAAACGTAGTGATACAGGATTTGCTACATGCTCCTTGCCCAAAACATATGAATTATGCATACCATTGCTTTCATAATAACTCTGAGTCCAGGTGACCAGATTTCAAACTTTTGAACGTAACCTTAGTGAGTAACTTTTCCGTCACCAAAATGCATCTTATGTGAACATACCACGTGTCCCACAGTGAATTATTAGCAACGCTGACTCAATTTTCCGCCACGGAGCTGGAAATGGGTGCTATGTTCCTTGTGACGTCAGCTAGCACACTTACGTGCCTTCTCATTGCTTATGCATGCGGTCGCTGGGTAGAAGTGCGCTCAAGGGCCGTGCAAAGAATCGCACCCCAGTGCATGCTTGAATTCAGCCTGTCTTAATCACACTAGGAAACCATAAAATTATCATCTATTTATGCAGGTGAAACGGTCCACCATCATTTCCAAAGCGGTAGATCGTCCTCAGCGCGACAGCCAGGCGCCCCACCCCCATCCACCCACGCCCATTCTACCGCGTACCCATGGCTCTCTCCCTGGGCATAGTGTACCCTTCCGACCGTCCCACGCACCACATGGGAAAGTCTCCTCACACTGCTTTCGCGGCGCTGACCTCGCGTCTTTTCGGCCCTGCCGCCTCCCGACGAGCCCATTTCTAAGACATGTTTTCGCCCCGCCTCATCCCGCATTAGCAGGCGTCGAGTGTTCGCCGCCACACCTGTTGCCGCGTTTTACGGACCGGCCTTTTCTCCTCGGCTCGTCGGCCCGCGGCATCACGCCTGGCACGGTGCCAAGTGCCTCTCGACGCGCGGCGCCTCGCCGTCGGCGATATAAACGAACCAAATAATGAACGCCGCGCGCCTGGGGGGCATCCAACTGAACGCAATGCACACCCCGTTGGCGCAGAGCGTCCCTGTCCTCCATAAACCAGTACCGACTGGACGCTCACTGCCCGGAGAAGCCGCGTGGGGGGAGGGGGAGGGGGACGGCGACGCCCCTGACCGGTCGATTGGGTGCAGCTCAGCCTGCCCGTCCAGATAGCTTGCTGAGTTTCAGTTAAGCTCGTTAGGGTCAGCCAGCCGGGCGGGGGGGGGGGGGCGGCATGTAATGCCTCCCCCCCCCTCCCCCTGCACATGCCATGTCGCACGCGTAACGTGTCGCACGTGTAAGGCGATGCACGTGCAATGTACTGCATGTGTGACGCATCACACATGTAACGTGTCGCACGTAGAAAATGTCGCGCGTGCGACGTTGTTCTGTGTAGGAAATGGCTAATCTTCAGGAAGACGACGTCGCAGCCGGCAAGCCGGAAGAAAGCTCGGATGGGAATGATACACAAACCCGCGGGATCCGGCGGAACAGGCGGCGCAAACCTGCGGTATCCAGCGGAACAGGCGGCACAAACCCGCGGTATCCAGCGGAACAGGCGGCACAAACCCGCGGTATGCAGCGGAACAGGCGGCACGAACCAGCGTCATCTAAGAGGTGGCATTACTTACGGCGCATGAACGAGGCGTTTAACGCATTGCTGGTGCACACACGGGTACGTCACTAGGCTGCATATAGGCCGCCTCACCAAGCCATCAAAATGGACCCGAAATGTGTCCCGCACATTTTAGTGCGAGCCCTCGAGGGGAAAGGGGAAACGGCTTATTACGTACACAGCGCCCAGCCATCGGCACGGTCAGGTGGGGAAAGCTAACAGCTGTGCTGTATGACAACTGAATGACAGTGACATTGGTATAGTGATAGTGATAAACCCGCGCGACAGAACTGAATGAAAGTGATAGTGATCAGTTAACACAACAACATCAATTTCAAAACCCGTGGACTTAAAACGCACAACGTTGGAATACTGTGCGCCTATCACTATGTGTGAAGACAGGTCAGTATCGTGCTCTCCGTGTCTAATATCTCTCTCAAGGACTATTACAATGCGGGACAAGCGTCACACCACCAGCAGTGCATCGCAGTGGCTCGTATCACTGCGTCCACCGCTGTTATCTGTGGAACCATGGATCGTACCAGGCAAAACCAGCTCAAACGCGACGGGCGCCCAGGGCTCTTACCTTTCTGCCGTTCTCAGCAGCGTCGTCAGTTCTGCATGGCCTCTCTCCCTGGCTCCCTCCCTGCGAACGAAACCAGGTTGCCAGATGATTGGACCAGACCAGTCCTGGGACCAGTCCAGCTCTTCAGACCAAACAGAACAGCTTCCCGACCAGCTGTTACGTCAACATTCCACAGTCATTACGTCCACGGCGCTCGTACGATACGATGAACGTGGACGACACCGACAAACTTGAGCTCAGCGGTAGTTCGGCTGGTTTGTGAGCTAATCAGCTCACTTAGCTCAGCTTAGCTTAGCTGCGCGGTTTGGCATTCTTGTTCAGCTGAAGCGAGTCAGATGTTCGAAAGCGCTTCTGAAATACACCCTCACTACGGCAAGAGGAACTCACTACCAGAAGCCATGCTTCCGTCAGAAAATATGGGCCATTTTTAGTGTACCGGATGGGTTTTATGGTTTTCCCTTAGCTTCCATGCTGGTGCCACAAACGGTCATGCCTGATGAGGCGTTAAGACATGCTTCTGAAGGCGGTGGCTCGCGGCTATTCATAATGTCTGGAACTGCAGGATGTGGCCGCCCTATTTTGCGGATGTTTTCAAGCCGTTGGAAGTTCACTAAATTTGAAATGTAAACTTGCCGAGTGTTTGAACGCCGAAACCTTCAGCCCAGCACCGCCTGAAGAATCTCATCAACGCTTACCGCCTAGGGATACTTAAACCACCCCAAAAATTACACGGGAAATCGGTGGCTCTGGCCGTGTTTTAGGAAGCATTAATTTGCTGTTTTAGAGTGAAGACTGAATTTAAAACTGACGTCAGCCTCTCACAAACTTGTAAAACTATCTAAAACCTTTGAAACCCCAGCCAGTCGTGATGATGGTAGAATAGCTTTGAAACCGACCCAAAACGAAGGATAACCTAACTTCTCATTAACCTCACTCTCATAATGTCATTTCTATTTGGCAAATGACCTGATTTTAGCAACAGTCAGTGACCAAGTCATACTGAGGTGATCAACTTAAGGTAAGGTGATTCAACCTGATCAGCTCTCTTGACTTTTCCGTAGCTTATTGTGATCTATCATGTCATATTTCCACATAGCTTCCGGATCATATGACATTAACATATAATAGGATATATGTATATATGTATATGTAAATCTATAATAAAATGTTTTTATGTAAATACATATGTGTGTGTGCATATATATATATATATATATATATATATATATATATATATATACCATGAACTATGATATTCTGTGCATGAAAATGACAGCACCGGCGTCAATTCAAACTACAATGCGATATGACACCCGACTGAAAGGACTGTGCCAATCCAGTTGCACTAACAAGGAGTCGAGCAGGTGTCGGGCATGTGTCGGGCATGTGTTGCGCATGTGGCCAATCCAATTACACCGACAAAGATTCGGAGCAGGTGTCGGGCATGCTGCCGGGCATGTTTCGGGCACGGGGCCGTTCCAATGACACTGACAAATCATCGGGCATGTGACTGGACACGGCTTACTCCAGCTAAGTGCTGGGCAAAAGACTATGTGTGTGGGACCTTAAGGCACCAGTCATAATAACAACCATTTTTTAGGGCCAAAAGTTCCCTGAGTGCACTAATGCGCGTAAAAAGTAGCATTAGTTTCTTGCACGATCTAACGCAAATGGGCTGGTTGGTTCAGCGTTTATAAGTTCACCTGGCACGACCTTTCATGACTTCCAGATATGAAAGCGCACAGGATGACACGGACGGCGCCAGACGCGTTGATGTAATAATTACAAATTAATGAGAAATAAAAGCACTGCTGTCCATGTTACCGTATGCGCACATACAAACCATCACTTACGTCGTCACATCCTCTTGACCTTATCAAGCATGCAACGCAGCTTGTATACCTTAGCTATCCGTTCGATGAACTGGAAGCTGCCAAGACTTTGGTGGAAGTTGGTTAGCTAACTGTTCAGAAGTTATTCATGAAAAGCGGTAAGGCAACACTGAAGCCTTAAGACAGCCATGAACTGACGGGTAGTACAATCCAATCACGGTACATTCAAACGAAATGAGCTGGCTCAACTGACACGGAAAAGTGCTGATCCTCATCGCGCCTTGTTCACATGTATTTAAGTACGGCTCTTAGGCAGCTGAAGAGTACATAAGTCGTAAATGAGTACTCAAAATGGACTATCCTGTCCTTTGGACGCAGCCCCTTCGCCTGCCACGCGTCCCGGTCCAAAGGCCGCCTCGGCCCCACCAACCATCACTTTGCATTTCCTGTAAAAGAGGTGGAGAGCATCGCCCACTGGCTGGCCTCGCCATATGTTGACCTCGAAGTCCCATCGACCGCCGGCCCAGCGCGCACGCCGTAAGCTTTGCAAACATGATAAGTGGCCCGGCCTGCTGCCATCTATCGGCGGATGACAGCAGGAGGACAGGCGCGGATCGGCCGGCAGCAGCGACCGCAGCCTCGACAGCAACACAAGCGGTCCCTGGAGGCCATCTCCTCCAGTTGGATCGTAGGGTCATTTGGTGTGCATTGCATCGCTTCTGCCGTGACGCCAATGAGCGCGAAATAATAACAAAACGTGAGAGAACGTGCATACCCTCTGTAAATGAAATGACCAAAAGCATGACCGTGGTGAGAGCTTTCTGGCATTTAGACGCGTTTGTGCGTTGAACGCATCGGTGTTTGAAATCGCTGGTAGCCCCGGTCTCAGCGCGGTTTACTGTGAGCTTTGCTGGATGATAGGCAGCTCCAAATAGAGTCATATCATCGGCGCTAAGTTACGACCGCCGCTGTCCGCCATGAGCGTCCTAACGTCGACGAGCTGGAAATTGTGTAGCTTCAGCTGCCCAGCCAGCCCGGCCCGACTCGTCACTGCCCGTCACTGCCCGTCACTGCCTGTTACTGCCCGTCACGGCTCGCCACGGCTCGCCACGGCCCGTCATGCCTTTGATGAATGATGGATGATGATTTGGCTCGCTAGATATTTGTAAACGCGGATGGCACCACATTTAGGTTTTACCAACAAAAGCGCAATTCTTTTAAACATATAGCATAATCGGTGATAACCTACAGGCACTTCAATGCAGCCTGTTCGATTAGTGAACATTTTCCGCAGTATCACGACACCAGCACCATTCCAACACCGTATTCGATTACCACGATAAACCTCAAAGCCTAATATCGCGAAAAAAAGTACAGAATGTCAGTCGGGAGCAAGTTCAAATATTGACGACTGGACGTGCCAGCGACGCCAGACGTATTGACAATGATAGAAGAGAAGATGAACAATCGCACCGTCAAAAATAGGAGAAAAAGGTGTGGAGATTCGCACCGGTAACCGCGCGCGAAGCCCGGAGTCTTTAATTGTCAGATGCTTTTAGGGATCTATATCAGATCTCAGGGAGCGGAGAATGGGCGTGTTTTCGGAAGCTATGACAATCTGAGGGACCCGAGCATGTGGACGTGAGACCGACTGTTCGATGTCGGCGAACGCATAAAGCAAAAACGACTGCGCCACCTCGCCACTCTCCGGCCAGGGTCGTCAGAAATGAGCTGAGAGGTAGTCAACGTCACTTTTTCTGAAATCGGCCGCAAATGCAACACTCTTAGCTTAGACGGTGGCATATCCGGCAATGAAAACTGCATGAACGCCTTGCCTAGTTCATCTTGACCAATGTCCCAACAGTGCTAGCGGTGCTCACAACACTTTCGTCACAGTTACGGAAAACGTGACCCATTCAAAGTTTATTTCTCCTCCATTACAATTGGAAGGTATTGGCAGGCCTAGGGCCAGCCAATGTCCAAGCCCTAGACATCCAGCAGGATGTCACATCATCCATCAGGGTATCTGGACATCAGCAACCGGTCGGCCCGCCGCGTCACGCTGCAGAAGGAAGAAGGTCGGAGCCCGTGATGTGAGATGCTGGTGCTGGTGACGGGGCTGGTGCTGGTATGGTGAGCCCTACGAGAGGTGGGGTGGAGCGCCGAGCTGATTCTCCGGAAACTGGGTCTTTGACGGTGTCGGCTGGCCACTTCCGGACGTGAATGCACGCAGTCGGCACTGCCACCGCCGCCTCGCCCAGTGGCCTACGGTGTACGCAGTTGGCGGGCGGCTGGCACCAGCAAGACGCGCACTAGCTGCCGTGCACACTGACGGAGCAGGCGCGGCTGGAGGAGCTGCTGCTGAGGAGCTGCGGCGACACCAGAGGAGGACGACGCTGGCGCTGCGTCTGCCGACAAAGGCGGCCCTGAGGACGGCCGGGGCGGGCGGGCACGCGCGGCTGAAGGCGCTCGGTCACCAGGTGACGCGCAAACCACCATCGACTCCACCTCTGGCCAACGGCTGGCACGGGGAGCATAATGCTCGAATGGTTAGCAGGCCAATGGGTGGTTTATTTTTTATTAGCGGGCCAATATTTTATTAAATTAGCGGGCCAAATATGGCACATGCAATCGCCGACGCTCCATAAAAGGTTGAGTGACGAAGTGCGTCGCGTTCTCTTAAAAAGGGACGCTGCTGAGCGCGGTGGAGTGCCACGCCAACATGCCCCGGACGCACCAGGTGGGGCGGCTCCCAGACCCACCGCTGCCCATCACCGAGGACAAGTCGAGCCGGCCGCGGAAGCTGTACGATAACAGGGTGGACGACGAGGGCGAGCACACGCTGACGCCGAGCAGCAAGGAGACAGCCGTCCAGCCTTCCAAACAGCCAGCAGAGAGATGCGGCCCGGCCTTCCAAACACAGCCAGCAAGGAGACAGCTGCCCGGCCTTCCAAACACAGCCAGCAGAGAGACGCGGCCCGGCCTTCCAAACACAGTCAGCAAGGAGACGGCTGCCCGGCCTTCCAAACACAGGCAACAAGGAGACAGCCGCGCGGTTCTCCAAACACAGCCAACAAGGAGACGGCTGCCCTGTCTTCCAAACACAGCCAACAGGCAGAGCCACACAACTCCAACGAACGGTCAAAGGAAGACGCTGGACAGTCAGACAGTTCGACCGAGCTGTGATTTGTAGAGCAGCGAGTTAGCTCCGCTGAGCAGAATAGGACCGGAGAGGCAACCGTCTCCAAGGAATGATGCTTTCGATGACATTCGGCCAGTCCACTGGACTACCCACGGCGGAAGTAGGCAACTATCAACGCAAAAGGGTAAGCTTGAATGTACGCGTTCCCTTAACTTGTCATAATTCAGAGGTAAAATACTCGAAAAATGAATGTGTCAGCAACGGATGGGTGCAACTTAAGAAGAATGTGCAGTGGGTGGGAACAGTCCCATGAGTAGTGGATGGATCTGGAAAAAAATTAGCCGTGAAGGCCGCTAGCTTCAGCAATAAGTGACCATACAATAGAGTCGGGTAGTGACCGAGGGCAGTCGTGGACGACGACCGGCGAGCAGCCGTCCTGAGCGTCCGTGCAGTGTCGTGTCGAACGTCCGGAGCGCCGTCCGGACGCCGGCACTCCGGTACTCCGCCCGGCCGGCGCACTCTGCTCGCCTCCCTCCACCAGCACACGGCGCCTGAGCTGCTCACGAATGGCAACTGGCTCCGCTGCGAGCGTTGCCCAGAGCTGCGCAGACTCGCAGCTCAGCTCAGCTCGCCCACCCGAGCAGCGACCGCCCAGCCAGCCACCGCCCGGCCAGCGACGACCGCCCAGCCAGCAACGACCCAGCCATCCATACAGTGGCTACCCAGCCAGCGACCACCCAGCCAGCGGACCACCCAGCCAGGCACTGCCCAGCCAGTGACGACCGCCCAGCAAGCTATTGCCCAGCCATCCAGCCAGCGACCACCCAGCCAGCAGCTACCCAGCCAGCGACCGCCCAGCCACCCAGCCAGCGGCCGCCCAGCCAGCGACCCACCCATCCAGCAACCGACCAGCCAGTGGAGAAAACTGGCGACAAGAAGAAGGGCGACGGCACCGTCTACAGCCTCGCCAAAAAGCGGCTGCTGATGTGGAGCCCCGCAGCACGCCATCGGTGCAAACCATGCTGATGTACAGCCTCGCGGCACGCCATCGGTGCTGACCATGCTGATGTACAGCCCCGCGGCACGCCATCGGTGCGGACCTGAAGCATCTGCAGCGGGTCGAGGTGCGCAGCTTCAGCTCGCGTTATGTGAACCGGCATGTGCCGTCCGGGTGCGACTCAACCTAGCGCCGTTCTGCTCCGCCATCTGGATCTTAATCTGGATCATCTTTTCTTGGTCATCACGTGGCTCATCTCGTCTTGATCATCATTTTGACCGTCTAATCTTGATTATCTGATCTTGATTATCTAATCTTGATTATCTAATCTTGATTATCTAATCTTGATTATCTAATCTTGATTATCTGATCTTGATTATCTGATCTTGATTATTTAATATTAATTACTTAATATTGATCATGTAATCTTGATCATCTTGTCACGGTCATCATCTGGTCTTGGTCATCACCTTGACCATAAAATTGATAATCATTTTCGTAATATTGTATTGATTATCACCTTGTCTTTATCATGATCCTCATCATCCAATCGCAAGAACCTGCTGCAGATGTGTCCCGGCCAGCGGCCTGTGCTCTATTCGCTATGCTCTACTCACTATTCGGTGTAGATAAACACAGCGGCCGGCTTGGCATCGGATGCTGCGCGGCCTGCGTGCTCCTCCGCTGCGGCAGGGGACGGCTGGGCATCGGACACTACGCAGCCTGCGTGCTCCTCCGCTGCGGCAGCGGCACCTCAGCGCCATCGACGCCCGGCTCACGGCTGTCGCCCGTGACGCGTACCAGCGTCCAGCTGGCTTGCACGGACGCCCACGGTGCGCCACCTCGCCCCACCCGTCACCCAACCCAGAGCAGAATCTGTGGCAGGAACCGGAGCAGGAGCATTGACCTCGACGTGACCTCGACGGGTCACGATCCATGATCTCTTTTCCCGCGTCATTTCGCGACCAGTTTTCCTTTAGGCGATCACCAACACTTATTTCTCGCAGGAAATGCACTCATAGGGTATTTTCGACGTGTTTTCATCTAATTTTAGCGTTGAAGTTCAGTTTACTGTTACCTTTGTAAAGTCAGGTCATTCAAAGTCAAGCTAAGTCAACCTTTGACTTTTGTGACCGGATTTGTCCCTTTGGCAGCATACGATTTTGCTCATACAGGCACGTTTCTCACAGCCTTGGAAGATGTTTCCAATGCTGTGCTCGCCATACATGTGGCTTGTTCAATGTTAAACAAAGCCCGACTGATGAATGTCACATTGTCAATGTCAATGAATCCTCTCCACATCTTTGACCGGAAACGACATAGGTCACATTTGTCGATGACCACTTTTGCCCATCTCATGGAGGTTTCAAGAGCTAATCGACGTCCTTCTCTGCATTGTGTAAATGCTTGGTTCTTACGATGACAAAAACGGTCCATTAAAAGCTAGATTGATCTCGGTATCTTGATTAGGCGTTCCAAAAGTCACATCCGTCATCGCTATGCCACACTTGTTTTTTTTAAGAAAAAGTCCGAGACTTTGAATGGATTGATTTTTGGGATCAGATCTCATTCAAAGCAGTGCTTGTGCGAGTCCCAACCAGCCATAACCATCATGATTACCATCCGATCGCGCAATTTTAGTTCAACGACAGAACGTGATGGCGAAGGTTTAACGTCCCACAATGCTCGGCTCGGTCCGTCCTGCCCTCTGACATCATCTGATCTTTAGCACAACCGCTGCCACCAGGCCATAGCTGTCAAGGGCAAATAGCGGGCGCCTTCAGCGACTCATACCCACCGCACCACGGATGGATGGATTGCAAAGCTACGATCTAACGATTTAACGATGTTCTAATGATCTGAGCCACTGGGACGAACGCATTTTCGGATACTTATTGCAGTTTGACAAAAGCTTTCGGATATCGTGTCCACGTGGCTCTAATTTTCGTAATTGTGTTACATCTTGGCGCGAGTTCTGTGAAGCCTAGCACGCTGGGAGACGGCGAAAAGACGCCCGCATGGTGAAGGTTAATCGTGTAGCTGTCACATTTCCTTTACACCATAGTCATATTCCTGGCGGCAATCCCGCGAGAAATGTTAAGTGGGCCAGCGTGGCTGTTCCCAAGCAGTGGGCTTTAATAGGGGAACCGTTGCCAGGTGAGAAAGGTGCGTGATGATGATGTAGGAAAAAGAGCAAGTAGACCCTTGGGGCATGGGGAGCCTTGTGGTCTACTGCCAAGACCCGCACCGGGGCAACGATCATGTCGGTGGAACCGTAAGACGAGTGTACGGATTCATGCTATCCAGGGCTTTAGTGGAAAGGTTCGGCACGCAGTCACCCGAGTCAACATGCCAGTACTGCCCGAGTCAACATGCCCGAGTCAACATGCCAGACTAAACATCTGTCTTTGAGGAAGCTACACCATCTCTTCGTACTGAGAGCCTGGTGTGAGCTAAACGCGCCCTCGACAAAGGTAAAGGCTCACATAAACAAGGGTGGGACTACACAGTCCTAGCCATGATCAGATCACCCTCCCCGTTTTAGGCTATCATCCTCACATTTGAATACAACCGAGGTCAATTGATCAGAATTTCCGTTTTTGCAACTATCTGTAGCAATGCTGTAGAAATAGGTAGGCAGGCCATGAAGTTTCAATGGACGATGCGACGTGAAATCGTGGTCTAACACGGGCCCGGATGAGGGTTAAATTGACCCCCCCCCCAAGGCTTGTCTGGACTGGTTTCCGAACAGCGCGGGGTACCCCGCAAAATTTTGCATAGCTGTAGACAATTGAACGGCGGGTCGTCTGGCATCAAAAATTCAAATGCACTTTGTAAGTTCACTGACCTATGGCAGGGCAAAGTCAGCCATGCTTTCAGCGAAGACAGTTTCTAGGGAATCGTTCAATCTGATCCAACAACGGAGTCTTAGACGAAGCCGTACATCTCTGAAATGTTTTCGTAGGCAACAAAACAAAAGAATGAACAAGTTCCATCGACATAAGGTCAGAAGCGAAGGTCACACCAAGGTCAAAACCAGCCAGTTTTATTACTCTAGGGCTTGCTGTATGGGGAACCCAAAATTTCCTGGTGCTCATTTTGAACGAACTGATAGCAGGAACCGCACTACACACCTTCCATAGATTTCTTAAAGGTCAGAATAGATCACTATCCTAGAATGAGCCAGGTCAACATCTTGTTTTTACTAACAAACTGCCTAATCGTTGTAATCTTTGTCGCTTATCCAAATGCAAAACTCGGAGCGGCCTTGTATGAATTTGGTCACCATGACCTCCAAAAAGTCAAACAAGGTTACTGACCTAAGATGAGCATGTGACCCTTTGCGTAGAACAGTTATCTAGGTTCAAGGGGCCCTTTGCGGGCCAACCTGGAATTTGACCTTGTTTGACCTTATTCGACCCGAAGACTATGACCTGGGAACCTCAAAATTTGCTGTAAGTGAGTTCGCGTACAGGCCAATATACCCTGTGAATTTAGTGTCTCTAGCTTTCTCAGTTCCTGAAATCTCAGGAAGAGGTCAAATTGACCCCCACCCGAGCGAAAGGCATCCAACCGGCCACCCGGGCGCATGTTGACAGAGCGGAGCGTACACACATCATATCACGATCCATACTGACGGCAAAAAGTATGTTCTCATCAAAGCGATGGAAGTGTTATTTCACCAGCTTTCCCCCACCGCAATGCCTCAACTCATGCCCTCCTCACCGCTCTTCCACGTAGACCATGCGCGGCGGGCAGGCGTTGTCGTCGCGGCGGTACGCTGCTTCAAGCAGCGCCCCGCCCTCGGGGTCACGCCTCCGAGCTGCCCACTGCCGCAGGCCGTCAAAGGTCGCAAGGGTCATCCAGGAGGGCGGAGCAAACGGGCCGCGTTTGTCTCCCACCAGAACCTGGAAGCAGAACGGAGGAACGTGGTTGGTGGAGAGCGATGATCGGCGGAGAGAGACGATTGGCTGAGAGCGGCCACGCGACAAATGTTTGTGGTGAGAGCGATAGAAGTTTCGGAGTGCTGTTTCACGTTCAACTCATATTTTGAAATTGAATTATGTGTCCTAGTCATGTACAGTCAGCTAGAGTAGCTTCCTGTCCATAAGATATTATAACAGTAGTGAGAGATGCAAGATCTCGTCCATTTCTGACCTAATTATGATCATTAAACATTTCAGTTAAGATCAATGCTTGATGATAAAATTGAAAACATAATTCACCATCGAACAGCATCCGTTGAATACAGCCTACCCGGAAAGTTATTTTGTGTGCCAGCATATCCCACGTTCGACCGAAACCGTGAGAATGCGAGCAACAAGTCCTGAAGGTCTTGCAACATATGTTTCGGTTTCGCAACTTTCCAGCATTTCATTATTATATGAGCTGTAAGATACACGAAGCGATACTTTCTTTTAGACAGGGAGCTCGGTCGGTGATTTAGGGCAATCGCAAAGCCATTAACACGAGCCTCTGCTTCACAATTTCTAGGCATTCCGTATCTTTGAAGTGAGCAGAGTTGGAAACAGCAACGGGGGAAAAGTTAGGTACCACATGCAAGTTAAGTTTTGGAGGCGCATAAAATTTATGATTCTGATTTTTCTGTCCCAGCATATGCATGTGACCAACTGAAGTACACATTATTAGCAGCGCTCGCGGTTAGCATCCAGTCTGCTTGAAGGCAATATCGTCATTTAATGGTATACTCAACATAATTGCCGTGAAAATAAGCTAACACTACAGCAAGAATCTACCATGAATACATAAATATGTTTTGAGCCGCTTCACATATCGTGTGAGAGGCCAAGAGGAGGTTTAAATACAAAGGTCACATGTTGATGCCCATTCACATGACAAGTTCTACAAGTGAGGGTTTTGTCTCGTGCCTCAGGCAGCTCAGGTAAGTAAGAGTCTGTACATTCGACACCTGTTACCTGCCCTTAACATTAAACCCCTTGTCAGCCTCTTCCACAAGAAATGAAACAGCTAAAGATAACTTTGCGTGTTTACAACACTGCTCAATTGTTGTAGTTTTATAACGTCTCTTCCAACCATACTGTTCGGAATGCCCCTTTAAAGATCACGTACCAGTCAGAAAGCTTGCATGCTAGACCAGGCTGCTGGTGGTACAAGGCACTTGTGAGTGCTGAAGACGGTGGCCTGTGCACCATCGCTGACTTCATGTGGGGCGGGTGTCCACGCCTGGTCAACAGGCGCTCGAGTGTGGGTCCATCGGACCTCGCGCGAAGGTTTTTACAGAACAATGTCCGAACAGCGCGGTGTGGCCGCACCCAACTTTGTCTAGTTATAGTGCATTGAATAGCGGATCTTTTAGTAGAAACACATGACATGCACTTTGTAAGGTGGCTGACCTATGGCAGGTCAAAGGCGGCCCGTGGCTGTTAGCAAAGGCAATTCCCAGGAAATCGTTGAATTTCAGGCGACAACAGGGTGTTAGACAAAGATGTACGTCGTTGAAATAGTGTCTCTGGCAATTCAACAAGGATGATAGTTAACGTTACAAGTTCCATTGACCTTGGTTCGGATATAAAGGTCACACAGGATTCAGGAAAAAAATATCCTTTGTATTGCATAGGCTTCTGTATGGGAAGCTAGAGGTTTGCCCACATTTTTTATTTCTAGCTTTTATGTTTTGTATAATCATACTTATATTTTATTATATTGCTTTGTTCGTATCGTTCCATTTCGTCTTTGTTCGTTTCGAACTGCTTGATAACATGGACGGCAACAGACATCTTCCTTGGAATCTTAAAGGTGAGGAGAGATCGCTGACTTAAAATGACATACATCGGCCTTTCTTAAGAAGCCATGCCCCCTAGCGTTATCCTTGACGGTTGCTGAAATTCAAAAATCAAAACAATCTCGCGGGATTTTTGTCACCATAACCTTTTTAGGTCAAAAGGGTCACTGACCTGAATTGAACACCAGTGCCCATTCGTTTAGTACAGGCATCTAGGTTAAAAGCGGTTGCATGAGTTAGTCTTTGGGCGCTTTGGACACTAATCCGGAAATTGACCTTGTTTGACCTTATTTGACACGAACATCATGACCTGAAGACAATACACTTTGATGCAAGTAAATTTACATACAGGTTTACCTACTAAGTGTCTTTGGTGTCCCTAGCTCCTATTTTTGAGATCTTACACGACCAAACTGCTCCCAACTCGAATTTGTCGCATTCAACTGGCCACCCCGGTGCGTGCTAATTTATTATCGTTACCTTGTTCAACGCTCTGCATTAGAGCACATTTGTCCTAAAAGCTCAGGTGTTTTTAAGCATGTTTGTGCGTGTTCGTAGTGGCTTCTCGCCGATACGCACGAGATTACTTATCACATAGGCTTTTCATCCCTTTGATTTGTCTGTGAACATCTATTTCAATTCATGCCGAAGCCCATTTGGTGGAAATACTCAAATCGTATAACTAGTCATAAACGTGTTACAACCAGAATTACTTAAATGACTATTCTAAGTAACATTTCAAGCTCCACGACCGTAGCATTTCAATCGACCGTTGTTTCCATGGCAACGAACCTTGAACTTCATTTCAGCGTGTTGGCGTCCTTAGGTGGTGTGAGTTTGAATGGGACTCGGGCATACGTCCCTTCTCTGATGCCACCGTCAAACTATGTTTCCGCTCCGCTGGAGTAATAGCAAACGCTTTCACGAAGTTTCACGCTTGACAAAAGTGTTGTGTTGTGCTGCGAAATATTGACACAACGGATGTCTTTTGTTTAACTTTTTCACGGAATGGCCACAATATCTCATCACATCGAGGCCATGGACACATTACGAGAATTGCCGCTATGCCACATCGCATCAATGACTACCACGCTATTACATCAGCGACTACCATGCCAACATGGGCGGAAAATGACCACAGTAGTCGACGCAGCCCTAAAACTCCAATCAACAACAACGACTACCATGCCAACGACACCAGCAGCCACCACATCTCATCACATCGTTGGTCGCCATATCCTCATCACAGTTCACAGTACGGCCCCGTACTCATCAAAGGTCACAGTACGGCTCTGTCCTCATCACAGACCACTGGACGGCCCCTGTCCTCATCACTGATCACAGGACGGCCCCTGTCCCGATCACCGGTCACAAGACAGCTCCCGTCCCCAACACAGACCACAGGACGGTCCCCGTCCCCAACACAGACCACAGGACGGTCCCCGTCCCCATCGCAGACCACAGGACGGTCCCCGTCCCCAACACAGACCACAGGACGGTCCCCGTCCCCAACACAGACCACAGGACGGTCCCCGTCCCCAACACAGACCACAGGACGGTCCCCGTCCCCAACACAGACCACAGGACGGTCCCCTGTCCCCATCACAGATCACAGGACGGTCGCCGACCCCATCACAGATCACAGGACGGTCGCCGACCCCATCACAGATCACAGGACGGTCGCCGACCCCAACACAGATCATGGGACGGCCCGTCCTCATCACAGATCACAGGACGGCCGCCGTCCTCATCACAGATCACAGGACGGCCGCCGTCCTCATCACAGATCACAGGACGGCCCCCGTCCTCATCACAGATCATAGGACGGCCCGTTCTCATCACACCCCGCGCCGCGGCTCATCACTGGCCGCCTTTCAGCACCCGCCCGCGGGCAGCGACGTGGCTCAGGGCGGCGGCGGCTGGGCGGTGTCAGTGGGCCGCCGAGCCCCGTCACGGCATCAGACATACCGTCCGCACGCCGCTGACGCCGCCACAGTCACGTGGCACGTGGCACGTGGTGGCACGTGGTGCCAAGTTAATGGCGGCTGGGGGCTCGGCACGCAGCGACACGTGGCTCCGTGCACGGCTGCGTGTGCCTCAGTACGTGTAAACGCGTGACACGGCATAACACTCGATCCACGGTGATCTACGTAGCCCGACGCACGGCGCCGAATATGAAACCATACTCGTAGTGCAGCCACGTGGTACCATGTAGCTTGTCGCATCGTGGTACGTGGTGGGGCACGTGGCACCGCGGCCCACGCGCGCGGCACAATCAGGAATACCTTGCTGAAGTGGCGGCACAAGGAGTCGATGGGCGTGAAGCGCGCAAGACTGTGCCGTCACGCAGCCGGCGGCGCGGGGATTCTCCCCACTCTGATCCGCGTGTGATGCAGGCCTGCGCTGATTGGCGGACGAGGACCGCCGCTTGATGACGCAAGTGTGGCGGTCGCGTGAGCGCCGCCGACCGCCTGTGGCCGCTAGTGCACACGCTCGGCTGCGTTGCCAGTGCGGAATCATGTGTGATGCTGGTGAAGTCCTGTGTTGCTGGTCGTGAGCGTTGTCAGCGTGTAGATAGCGCCACAAGCCTAGCGCCTCGCCATGCCTGCGCTTAGCTAAGCGCGGGTATACGGGTCTTATCGATCCATCGGCTGCTCGGCTCGCATGACAGTTCTCAGGCATACAGGGGGGGGGGGGGGGGGGGGGCGAGTGTCTGATGTGGTGACTCCGTGAGCCAATTTCAAAATGGATGTTTCCTTGACTTAGCGCTAAATCACTGGTGCTGGGTCTGGTAGTAGTGCAAAGTTGGAAACAACATTACCTTTAATCCTGTAATCTTCGGGCTAAATGGGCTCAAATTTCAGGCTCTATTTCAGTAGGTAACAGCGAGCTTGGAAGATAACTTTCGCTGCTAAAGCTCACCATCGCCACCCTCGACGCATCGTTTGTCGCCTCCTCACCCACCCCGTGGCCGTTTCTCGTGCCATTATCCATCACACCTTTTAGGTCTCCATCCTCAGAGAAGTGATCATTCATCAAAGGACGGTAAAGAGGAGGACACGCCCCAAACCTGCACCTGACAGGCAGATTTCATTATGTTATCGCACTGAGGACCAGGTGCTATGCTGGCTTCATGGCGACAAG